AGGGCGCTCATCGGCCCAGCGTGGGCCGGGCGCACCCCGAGAGGCCGCTGCGGGCGAGGAAGCGGGCAGAGGGGCCCTGCAGGGGAGCACGGCTGGGAGGGCGGCCATTGCATGGCCTTCCCCAGGGCAGGGGGGTGTGCCTGGAGGACAGGCCTGGGGTGCGGGGCCCTGAGCTCAGGGCCTGCAGGGCTGTGGGGGAGGAGACGCCGGTGCCTCTGAGCTCAGCCATAGGACCCAAGCCGTGGCCGGCTTCAGACTAAGGCAAGGAAGGTTCCCTGATGAAGCCGTCCGAACGGCGTGGACCGGGCAGACCCTCTGAGCAAGGCCAAAGCTCTCAGCCTCTTGGGACGGGCACGCCGGCCTGGCAGCCAGCTCCAGGGCGTGGGAGCCGGGATGCGGTGGGGCACGGCGAGCTGTGCGTTCCTCCTCACAGTAAAGAGGCCTGGCACAGAGCGGCAGCACCCCGGACACTAGGCCCTTCCCACCTAACCGGGAATGGCACCGGGGACCTTGTGGTGCATGGGGGACAGCGCTCCACCCACTGAGCCGCACTGGCGAGGGCCAGTTTCTGCTCTTCTCAGAAGTTTGCCGGCCTGCTCTGGCTGTGGGAAATGAGGCTGTGGGCTGTTTCCCAGTCAGAGACCTGTGGCACGGAGAGGACGCACTGGCTGGCAGCGCCGTCTCTCCTCTCTCCAGGCACCAGGCAGGGGACCCGCCTGACAGCAAGTGGCTGCCCGTGAGAACGGTTGCTTTTACAGAGAGAGAGGCCCGGTGCACGGAATTCCCACTAGAGCAGGCCTCCCTTGCCCCGGCTGCCGGCATCGGCTCCCTCTGGCACCTGGGACCTGGGCTTCCCTTGCAGACCTGGCTTTGCCCTCCGGAAGGCTGTCCGGTCTCATTAGCATATCACTCTTTTATTATTATTATTATTATTTTCATTGATGTAAGAGGAAGGAACAGGGGGAGAGTGAGAGAGAGAAACATTGATGTGAGAGTGCAACATGGACGGGCCGCCTCCTGCACAGCCCACACTGGGCATCGGGCCTGAAGCCCTTGCGTGTTCCAGGAATCGAACCGTGACCTCCTGGTTCATTTTTCGACGCTCAGCCACTGAGCCACGAGGCTGGGGAGAGCTTGCCGTCAGTGGCTGGCGCTCCCCGGGCGGAGTGGGGGTGGGGCTCCTGTGTTCTGGAGCCGGGGGTGTCTGAGCCTTCAGGAAGGCCCCGGGGGCAGGGCTCCCCCGGTGGCTGCACTCCCCCGGTGGCTTCCCAGCCCCTGCTTCCTGCTCGGTGGGCCGGGAGGCGGCGCTGGCTGCAGAGCTGACCGGGAGAGGGGCCCGGTCCGGCCTCGCCCAGGCCCGGGAGGACTGAGCACGGGGAGCGGCCGCTTCCGCCGTGGGAGGGCGGCTGGAGGAGGTGGTTAGCTGAAGGAGGAGGGAGTGGAGCACAATGTCCATTTCAAATTGAGCGTTAAACAGAAACACGTGCGGACACGGCCCACGCACAGCCGGCCGCTGGGGAAGCCACCGCAGCAGGGGTCAGGTGGCGGGGCTGGGGGCCGGGGGCCGGGGGCAGCTTCTGCGGGGCGCTCCGGGCAGCCAGGCGGCTGTGGCCGCTCCAGCTGCCCTCCCCCGGGGCCGGAGCCCAGGGCCGCCTGCCAGGCCGCACACGGCGGTGGGAGCGGAGGGCGGAGGGCAGCCTAGGGCCCGGGGGGTGGGGGGTGGGAGGGAGATTGAGAACCCCGGGCTGGCTCCTCCACCCGCCCGCCCATGCGGCTCTGCTCACAGCTCCCTCTGCACATCGCTGTGGGGTCCGAGGCGAGGGGGTCCGCGGGCTGGCTGAGCCCCGCTTACACCAGGATTGGCACCTGGAGGCCCAGCAGGGTCTTTGTCACCAACCCCGCTTTTCACCTTTCTGTTCCCGAGACTTTGACAACCCCTCCCCACCCTCCTGACCCCTGTGCTGCCCCGTTCTGGGCGGGCTCCTGGCGGTCCCTGGTGCCAGCCAGCTAGCGAGACGGACCAACGCCCCCTCCCTCAGTGGGGCCGCTGGGGCCGCCTCTTGCACGTCAGGGGACAGGCAGGGTTCAGCCGTGGCCCTGGAGGGAGAGCTTCACCCCACTCTGCCCTGCCCTGCCCTGCGCTGGCGGAGGGGGGGGGGGGGGGGGCAGGGTGCTCCTCGGAGAAATTAGCTCGGAGGCCGCAGAGCGGAAGCCCTCGCAGGAGTACACGCGTGTGTGCAGGGGCCCTGAGCACGCGTGAGCAGCAGTCCGAGCGCGGGGATGAGGGGGCCGGAGCCAGCCTGAGAGGAGGCGCTCCTGCCTGTCTCTGCAGGGGAAGCCCGCACACTACACTCACTGCTCAGCCCGGCCGGCGTGGCTCAGTGGTTCAGCGTCGACCTATGACCCAGGAGGTCACGGTTCGAATCCTGGTCAGGGCACAGGCCCCGGCTGTGGGCTCGGTCCCCAGTAGGGGGCGTGCAGGAGGCAGCTGATCAGTGATTCTCTCTCATCATCGATGTTTCTGTCTCTCTGTGCCTCTCCCTTCCTCTCTGAAATCAATAAAAATATATTTTTAGAAGAAACGTAACCCACAGTCCCTCGTGGGACTGGCCTTTCTTGGCTCACAAACACCAGTTAACGCCCAAGAGAGTGGACGCAGGATGCCAGGGTGCCTTACTCTGCTTGGCATCTAGATATGATATATGGGGATTTATACATTTAAATCATGAACTGGGCTTGGGACTATGTTTATACTTTTTTATTGATTTTAGAGAGGAAGGGAAAGGGAGAGAGAGAGAAACATCGATGATGAGAGAGAACCATGGACCGCCTGCCTCCTGCACGCCCCACACTGGGGATGGAGCCCGCAGCCCGGGCCTGTGCCCTGACGGGGAATCCAACTGTGACCTCCTCGACGCTCAGCCTCTGAGCCACGCCTTCCGGAGGAGGCACTCCGCGGAGAAGGGCCAGGACGGCTCAGGAGGCCAGGGGAGCGGGTTACAGGGGCCCGGCCACCAATGCGAGTCAGAAAAAAAACCATTAAAACGATTACACAGTCAGCTCCTCGGCACTTCCAGGCGTCTCAGGGTCGGGGGAAACTTGGAGGAACTGGTTTGAAGGTTTTGCCCGGGCTTGTGGGCACAGAGGGGTGCCGACCCCCTAATGACAGGGAAGGGACGGGCTCTGCCCCCCACCACCACCACACCCACGCGCAGACACGCGCAGACACACGCAGAAAGGGGCATTGTGAGACTCCCGGGAGGCAGCCAGTCTCACTCGCAGTTAGGACAAAGTGCGGGCCCAGGAGAGCACGGCCAGGCTGCGGGCCGGCCCAGGTGTCCGGGGGTGATCGCAGGCTCTCCCACAGCCCTGGCCTGGGCCTGTCCCTCAGAGACCCCGGCCGGTCCTGGTCCCCCTCCCAGGCCAGGGGCCCTGTGTCTGCGCTCTGAGAAGGTGGAGGTTCAAAGCTCCAGCTTCAAACGCCGAACCCTTTGTTCTGTCCGCCTGCCTGGGCTGGTCCATGAAAGAGCCGGGCTGTGACTGTGATGTCACTCTCATCCTGTCCTCGGCTGTGCCACACAGGCTGCCGCGTGGGTTTCCCCAACCGAGAATGTTCTCTGGTGTGAGGTCACCCGGCCTGCGGGGGGCGCCTGTGAGGCCGGCTCCCGGGAGCCGCCAGCAGGGCTGTTGGTTCCTTCCCTGCTGTTCTGACATGTTTCCATTTTGTTGTTCACTAATGCGTATCTCTAGACCGTAGGCTTCGTCTCCCAGGCATTCGCTTAGAAGACTGTCGTAGCCCTGGCCGGTGTGGCTCAGTGGATAGAGCATCAGCCTGTGGACTGAAGGGTCCCGGGTTCGATTCTGGCCCAGGGAACATGCCTGGGTTGCAGGCTTGATCCCCAGTGGGGGACGTGCAGGAGGCAGCCGGTCCATGATTCTCTCTCATCATTGACGTATCTGTCTCTCTCTCCTTCTCCCTTGCTCTCTGAAATCAATAAAAATATATTATAATAAAATAAAATAAAATAAAATAAAATAAAAGAGCCGAAACTGGTTTGGCTCAGTGAATAGAGGGTGGACCTGAGGACTGAAGGGTCCCGGGTTCGATTCCGGTCAAGGGGCACGTACCTTGGTTGCGGGCACATCCCCAGTCGGGGGCTTGCAGGAGGCAACTGACTGATGTTTCTCTCTCATCGATGTTTCTAACTCTCTATCCCTCTCCCTTCCTCTCTGTAAAAAATAAGTAAAATATTTTTTTAAAGAAGAAGGAGGAGGAGGTCTCCGCCCTCCTGCCCGGGCTTCCATTGCCGCTGTGCCCCGCGGTGCCCGCCCCCGCCCTGGGAGTGCGTCACGTTTGTAAATGCCCTTCGGTCACACGGGGCCGCCTGCTCTCTTCCGGCGAAGGTCACGGTGCCGTTATTACGTCGACGTGGTGATCACGTCCTTCATGTGCATTCTGGCGCGTGTCGTTTGGCTGCTGAAGTCCTTGCCGCCGTCTCCCCCGAACGGTCTTTACAGCCCTGACCGGTGCGGCTCAGTGGATAGAGCGTCAGCTTGTGCACTCAAGGGTCCCGGGTTCCATTCAGGTCAAGGCCATGCGCCTTGGTTACGGGCACATCCCCAGTAGGAGGCGTGCAGGAGGCAGCTGGTCGATGTTTCTCTTTCACCAGTTTCTAACTCTTACCTCTCTTCCTCTCTGTAAAAAATCAATAAAATATATTTTTTTTTAAAAAAAAAAAGAAGAAAGAAAAGGTTTTTACAGAATCTTTCTGCGTCCTCGTGACTTCTGAACACGTGTCAGCACGTCCCTGCGCTCGGGGTGGGCTCGGCGCCCGTGGGCCTGCACCGGGTAAAGCCTGCCCGCCCCGGCACGCCGCCGGTCAGAGCGAACAGCCGGAGTCGCCATGGCACACAGCCGTCGGCGATGGTGAGCGCGGTTTCATGTTGGTGCCGTGCCCCCCTGGGCGTCTCACGCACGCGGTGCCTTTTCTTCCCCCCAGTGTGCCAGGGCACCAACAACAAGCTCACCCAGCTGGGCACCTTCGACGACCACTTCCTGAGCCTGCAGCGGATGTTCAACAACTGCGAGGTGGTCCTGGGCAACCTGGAGATCACCTACATGCAGCGGGGCTACGACCTGTCCTTCCTGAAGGTGGGTCCGAGCGGGCCTGGCCGTACGTGGCGGGAGCAAGGGGCGGGCAGGGTCTGGGCGGGACCCCCCGGGCCCTGGCTGGCCTCGGCCGGCAGCTCGGAGTCCCAGAGCACTGGAGGTGCGGGGTGCATGCGGGGCCCCTCCCCCAGCTGGGCCCGATCACAGGAGGACGCCCCAAGGAGCAGGCCTGGCCGGCACCCCATGGCACCGTAGACACCGAGAGGTATCTTGTCGCCGTGGCTTCTGCCGTGGCCTCTGCCGTGGCTGCCACCATGGCACCCTGGTAACTGGCTCCTAATGTGGAAAGAGCCTTGCCTTGTAGCACCTGCCCATTGCCTTGGTGTAAACCCTCCCACCACGGCTGTTTTCCGGCCGCCAAGAGTGTAGCCGCCATTTCTCAGGCGGCTCACGAGAGCCGGCGGGAGCCAGCAGTTGAACGTTGGGTGTGATGGGCCTCCCTCTCGGGGTTGTTTTCTTCTTTCCGTGAGAGAGCAGGCGGGACAGAGGCGAGATAAGTTAATGAAACCAGTCCCAGCGTCACCGGAGGGTGTCGAAGGCCAAGGGGAGGGGGCACCGTTTTGCTGAGTCGTCACGTTGCCCTTGACGGCCGCCAGCGGGCTGGGGGGGGGGACACGGCGTGGGAGCGACTGTGCCCCCTGCACCCGCCACGCGCTCCGTGGCGCCACCCACACGCCCTACGGCCGTCACCACGCGTGTGCGTCGCTCAGGGGGGCGTCCCGGTTCCCCGGGCCCGTGGGGACCTCACGCGCTTAACCCCCTCCGCGGAGAGAGGCCAGCGTCACGCTCTGTCCCCTCAGACCATCCAGGAGGTGGCCGGCTACGTCCTCATCGCCCTCAACGTGGTGGAGAGGATCCCGCTGGAGAACCTGCAGATCATCCGGGGGAACATGCTCTTCGAGAACACGCACGCCCTGTCCGTGCTGTCCAACTACGACAGCAACAGGACCGGCCTGCGGGAGCTGCCCCTGCGGAGCCTGCAGGGTGAGCGGCCGGGGGCGGGCGGGGCGGGCACAGCCCCCTGGCCCTCTCTTAAGTTCACTCCGGGAAGACGTTACTCTTCAAAACAAATGTGTGTGTTTAATCTTTATTGCTGAGAGTATTACAGGTGTCTCCCTCCCCCCCCCCCCCATTGCCTCTCTCCGCCTGGTCCTGCCCACCCCAGACTTCTGCCACCCGGTTGTCTATGTCCATAGCTAACACATACACGCACGTAATTTCTTCGTTTAATCTCTTCACACACGCCTCCCCCCTTCCGTCTGAAATTCATTAGTCTGTTCCGTGCTTCCGTGCCTCTGATTCTATTTTATTCATCAGTTTACTTTGTTTATTAGATTCCTTGTTCGTTAATTTTTAGATTCAACTGTTGATAGATATGTATTTTTTGCCATTTTATTTTCAAATGTTTTCCCCCTCCTCCTCCTCCTTCTCCTCCTCCTCCTTCTCCTCCTCCTCCTCCTCCTCCTCCTTCTCCTCCTCCTCCTTCTCCTCCTCCTCCTCCTCCTCATTCTTCTTCTTCCTCTTGTTAAAGAAGACCCTTCAACATTTCATGGAATACTGGTTTGGTGGTGGTGAGCTCCTTTAGCTTTTTCTTGTCTGTGAAGCTCTCTATCTGACCTTCCATTCTGAATGATAGCTTGGCTGGGCAAAGTAATCTTGGTTGTAGGTTCTTGCTATTCATCACTTTGAGTATTTCTTGCCACTCCTGTCTGGCCTGCATAGTTTCTGTTGAGAAATCAGCTGACAGTCGTATGGGTGCTCCCTTGTAGGTAACCAACTGGTTTTTTTTTTTTTGTATCCTGTGCCACTCATGTGCAAGACTCAGCCAGTGGAGGTTACTGAAAAGGTGTACGCAGTGCAGTGGGACGGGGAGAAGGGAGCCAGGTATCCCGTGCTCTCGGAAAAGCATCCGAGAGTCAGTGAGACGTGGCAAAGGCTCTGGGAGAGGGAGCAGGTAGCAGCCTTCGTGCCAGCCTTGTGGCCTGGGCCTGAGGTGTAAGGGGATGCACTGAATCAACCCCTCGTGCTGGCTGGAGTGCACAGAGGTCAGAGCGTGGACCCGCACACAGGGGGTCCAATTGATGTGTTTCTCTCACATCAGTGTTTCTCTCTGTCTTTCCATCTCTCTCCCACTCTCTCTAAAAATCAATGGAGCCGAAGCCGGTGTAGCTCAGTGGATAGAGCATTGGCCTGTGGACTGAAAGGTCCAAGGTTCGATTCCGGTCAAGGGCATGTACCTTGGTTGCAGGCACATCCCCAGTGGGAGGTGTGCAGGAGGCAGCTGATTGATGTTTCTAACTCTCTATCCCTCTCCCTTCCTCTCTGTAAAAAATCAATAAAAATATATTTTTTTAGAAATCAATGGAGAAATACCCTCAGATGAGGATTAACAAAAAAAACAAAAAAAAGAATTGCTTGCACACTGAGTGCTCGGGTGAGACGAGGCGGCATGGCTCACGGGCCCTCTCTCCCGCAGAGATCCTGCAGGGTGGCGTGCGCTTCAACAACAATCCCACGCTCTGCAACCTGGAGACCATCCAGTGGCGCGACATTGTGGACAGCAGCAACATGTCGCTGGACTTCCAGAGCCCGCGCAACAGCTGTGAGTGTGCCGGGCGCGTGGGCCTCCAAGGGGCCGGTGGTGGCAGGGGAGGCGGCGCAGGCCCAGCTCCCTTCGCCTGTGAGCGGCAGTAAGCCCAGGGGCGGCTGCTGGGCAGACCGGCACTGCATCCAGCGCCTGCCAACCACCCCCCTCGAGCTACCCTCCCAGGGGGGCCGGAGACCCTGACCTAGGGGGACCGCTGGGGCTTCTCCCGGCCTGAGCCCGCGGGAACCAGGCCCGGAGCTCACTGAGCCCGTGTCCGGCCGGCATGGGACCGCGCTGTGTGCAGCCACGCTCTCCCGCGTCCTCACTGAGCCCGTGTCCTCACTGAGCCCGTGTCCGGCCGGCATGGGACCACACTGCGTGCAGCCACGCTCTCCCGCGTCCTCACTGAGCCCCGTGTCCGGCCGGCATGGGACCACACTGCGTGCAGCCACGCTCTCCCGTGTCCTCACTAAGCCCCGTGTCCTCACTGAGCCCCGTGTCCTCACTGAGCCCGTGTCCGGCCGGCATGGGACCACACTGCGTGCAGCCACGCTCTCCCGCGTCCTCACTGAGCCCCGTGTCCTCACTGAGCCCCGCGTCCTCACTGAGCCCCGTGTCCTCACTGAGCCCCGTGTCCTCACTGAGCCCGTGTCCGGCCGGCATGGGACCACACTGCGTGCAGCCACGCTCTCCCGCGTCCTCACTGAGCCCCGTGTCCTCACTGAGCCCCGCGTCCTCACTGAGCCCCGTGTCCTCACTGAGCCCGTGTCCTCACTGAGCCCGTGTCCTCACTGAGCCCGTGTCCGGCCGGCATGGGACCACACTGCGTGCAGCCACGCTCTCCCGTGTCCTCACTGAGCCCCGCGTCCTCACTGAGCCCCGTGTCCTCTCTGAGCCCCATGTCCTCACTGAGCCCCATGTCCTCACTGAGCCCGTGTCCGGCCGGCATGGGACCGCGCTGTGTGCAGCCACGCTCTCCCGCGTCCAAGGCTGGTGTGCCGGAGGCCGTGCGGGCGGCGGCTCCTATTGGCACAGGCGGGACCGGCCTGCGGAGCCTCAGCGGGGAGGCCGCCTGCGCCCGCGGCTGTGCTCCGGCCGGAAGGCGCGTCTCTGCTGGCCGCTCCCCTGGCCCCGATGGCGTCTGACCCCGCGTTTGTGTTGCAGGCGGGACGTGTGACCCGAGCTGCCCCAACGGAAGCTGCTGGGCTGCGGGCAAGGAGAACTGCCAGCAACGTGAGTCCGAGGGAGCGAGCGGGCGGGGGCGGGTGTGCGGCCGCCTCCGCCCCAGACCTGTGGCGTGGTGGGTTTCTTGTTTTAATAGATTTTATTGATTTTTACAGAGAGGAAGGGAGAGGGATAGAGAGCTAGAAACATCGATGAGAGAGAATCATCGATCAGCTGCCTCCTGCACACTCCCCAGTGGGGATGTGCCCGCAACCAAGGCACATGCCCTTGACCGGAATCGGATCTGGGACCCTTCAGTCCGCAGGCCGACACTCCATCCACTGAGCCACACTGGTTAGGTGTGGCGTATTTTTAATAATGCCTTTCACAATTTTTAATATGTTTTTATTGATTTCAGAGAGGAAGGGGGAGGGAGAGAGAAACATCCATAATGAGAGGGGATCATGGACCGGCTGCCTCCTGCACGCCCCCCATTGGGGATGGAGCCTGCACCCGGGGCCAGTGCCCCGACCGGGAACCGAACCGTGACCTCCCGGTTCACGGGCTGATATTCAACCACTGAGCCCCCGGCCGGGCCTAAAAGTCACTGTTGGTCGAAAGGCCAGAGGGAGCAGCCCAGGGAACGCCAATGCTGCCAGCCGCCCACGGGGACCCGGGCGCTGCTGTGGGCACAGGAGCCGGGCCGCCGTGAAGGAGCAGAAGTCCGCCGTGCCCACCAGTCCCCCCAGCCATGCCCGGCGGAGCTTCCCGGGAACCGAGGCTGCTCAGCCCCCCTCCCGCCCCGGCTCACGTGGCCTGTGCTCCTTCCCAGTGACCAAGACCATCTGCGCCCAGCAGTGCTCCGGCCGCTGCCGCGGCAAGTCCCCGAGCGACTGCTGCCACACCCAGTGTGCCGCCGGCTGCACCGGGCCCCGGGAGAGCGACTGCCTGGTAAGACCGCCCCCGCCCCGGTCCTGGCACGGCCCCGCTGGCCTCCGCCGGCCCCCACCGGCCCCCGCCGGCCCCCGCCAGCCCCGGTGGGCACTTCCGTGGCTGCGGTGTGCGGAGAACCGTCTGGGTGGAGGGCAGGATGCTGCCTTCCCAGGGACCAGGGCCTCTGCCAGCGCCCTGCCCACCCCTCCCCTCCCCCCTCCCCGCTCCCCGTGACCTTGGGCAGCTGCTGTGACCCCTGTGCTCCGGCTCCCCGTCGGACGGGGGTGGACGGAGAGCGCCTCCCTGCTAAATGACCACGTGACCTAGAGCTGCGGTCGGCAAACCGTGGCTCAAGAGCCACAAGCGGCTCTTTGGCCCCTTGAATGTGGCTCTTCCACAAAATGCCACGGCCTGGGCGAGTCTATGTTGAAGAAGTGGCGTTAGAAGACGTTTAAGTTGAAAAAATGTGGCTCTCCAAAGGAATCTCAATCGTTGATGTTTGGCTCTGTGGATCGATGAGTTTGCCGACCACTTGCGTGCTGGACCCACGCGCAGACTGAGCACCAAACACTACACGCGTGCTCTTTACCGTTCGGGAACGCAGACCCGGAGTGGCGGAGGGCTCAGAGGCTGCCCGCACCCCACGCAGGGGGTCTTGGGGTGCTCTCATTGGTCCCTGGGGCTGCAGGAAGCTCTAGCGAAATCCGTACTGCCTTGGGGGGGGGGGGGGGGGGGGGTGATGGGGCCTGTGCAGCTGCCCCGAGGGTGGGCACCTCAGACGTCCTGAGAGCCGGTGGCCGTGTGAGCCCGCAGCCGGCGAGGTGCGCGGGCTCCGGGCAGCATCCTGTCCGGCCTGGTCCTTGCAGGCGGCAGCTTTCCAGGCGGGCCCGCGCCAAGGGCAGCACCCCCGGACCGCACCCCCCACCCCCCGTGTCCTCTGTGCAGGCGGCGCGTGAGGGAGTGTGAGCACAGCCCCTCGTGGTCCCGCCCCATGGGCGGCTCTGTCGTTCTGTCCGCGATGGAGAGAGAGGTGTTTTCCTCTCGCCACCGTCCATACGTCCTAGCAGGGACGTGTGCTAAGAAAGGCCGTGCTTCTGGACAGGTCTTTCCGGCTGGGCCGCCAGCATGCGGCCGGATCGTCCTGCTCTAATCGAGCCCCTGAGCAGAACTGGAGGCTCCCGCCCCAAACCCAGCGGTCCCTGCCCAGCTCCCTGCGCAGGTCCGGGGGTGGGGGGGGAGAGAGAGAGAAAGAGAGAGAGAGAGAGAGGGAAGGAGGGAGGGAGGGAGGGAGGGAGGGAGGGAGGGAGGGAGGGAGGGAGAGATTTGGGAAGCGCTGGTTCAGGCAGGAGCCCAGACAGTGTCCCGGGAGGAGGCAACGCCATGGTTTTGGGAGAGGGAAGCAGCTGCATCCAGAGCAGGAGGGCTGGCTATTGGCCAACACAGTGACACGAACTCGAAACAAAGTTTCTATTGTCGCCTCTGCTTCCTCCTTGTATCCACTCCTCCGGGAAACAATGTTGCTTTAGGCCCAAACAATGTTGCTTTAGGCTTGTTGCACCCATTTAACATTTCCGAGGTCTGAGATCCGAGGTCCGGGTCCGAGGTCCGGGTCCGAGGTCCGGGTCCGAGGTCCGGGTCCGAGGTCCGGGTCCGAGATCCGGGTCCGAGGTCCGGGTTCGGGACAAGAGAGGCAGCTGCTCTGGGAGGCAGCTCTGCTCCGTCTCACCCGATCCCCGTCTTCCTCTCACCGACCCCGTCCCCGCGGCTATCGGCAGGTCTGCCGCCGGTTCCGCGATGGCGCCACCTGCAAGGACACCTGCCCGCCGCTCATGCTGTACAACCCCACCACCTACCAGATGGACGTCAACCCCGACGGCAAATACAGCTTCGGCGCCACCTGCGTGAAGAAGTGTCCCCGTGAGTCCGCCCGACGCCCTTCCCGTTCAGCGTCCGTCCCCCTGGGCCTCCCACTGGCACCCGGGTCCCATCCCAGGCCGCCCTGGCCGGGTGCCTCCCTGCGACAGGGTGACGGGGAGGTGGCTGTCAGGTGACCGGCAGCACCTGGATCAGATCCAGGATGGTCAGCTGTCGGGCTGCCCCTGCACATCCCCGCCCGGGACAAGGGTCTGTTCGCCATCAGGTCCGGAAGCCAGGGGAGCTCTTGAGCGAGATCCGTGTCCAGGCCGCACCTGCCCCACTTTGTCCTTAAAACCAACCCCAGGAGAGGGCGCCGGGCCCTCTCATCGCCGCGATTCGGGAGGACACGACCCCGAGGCACTGGCGCCGCTCACACCTGCCCCCCTCTCGCCCCGCCCCAGGGAACTACGTGGTGACGGACCACGGCTCCTGCGTGCGCGCCTGCAGCTCCGACAGCCAGGAGGTGGAGGAGGACGGCGTCCGCAAGTGCAAGAAGTGCGAGGGGCCGTGCCGCAAAGGTGGGCGCCCCTGGGTGCCGCTGGGACCCGGTGTCCGGCCCGGGCTCCTCGCGCCCTGGGAGGTCCCGGTGCCTCTCCCCCTCTCCGCTCAGCGGGCCCTCCTCCCTGTGCTCCGTGCCCTGGCCCTGCAGTGCCCTCTGGGCCAGTCTACCCTGCCAACTGCATCTTTCTTTCTGTCTGTCCTCACGCAACCCCCGAAACAGTGCGACAG